CGACTAGTGCACTTGCTATCATTGCATGTTGTAGTAACAACGTATCAGTAACCCCAGTGTCTATGGAACAAATCCTCTAACGAATGGTGGTGCATGTGATCCTTAGACTTGAGATCACCGGAGCGTCTTATGCACCGATTGGTGTAGTTTGACACTAGCCTAACGCAGTTCTATTCAGAACTGTCAATACGGTAGTGATTGGCTGCATCAAGGAATGTATCAAGACTATCGTGGATTGACAGAGGATTCATCACTCCCGAGTACGAGAGAAGTTATCTCACGGCGCAATTCAGTAAATGGCAATGACACTAAATTTGTGGCCACAGTGGGATTGAGTTGTTGCTCTATCCAGTTTATAATACAAGTCATTGGTCCGGCAACTAAATACATAATATCGAGAGTAACCGAGGTTGACACTATTTATATGCCCCGGTCTCGTCGAGATAACGGATGATGAAAGGATTGGATTGCATGGTAACCATATCGTTGACAGGTAGTTGCTTCGCTGAATCCGAATCTATCGGGTGGCCATGATGCCTTGCTAGGGGCCAATCTTGGTCTGTGTGTACTGAGACGATTAATTGGTGTTAATCGCAATACTACACACTGCCGGTATGATAAAGAGCATATGGGTCACACACATAGAAGATAATTTAAGAACCTGTTTATAAGAACGGTGTTTTCATCTTTTTAGGCGAAAGGTTATTTTGGTAATTTCACAGTGCAATTAAATTTGTTGAGGTCGTAGCCTTTATTTAATTTGTTAATAAAATTAAATAAATGAAATTATGTTTAAATATGTGTTCGCATATATTTAATTAAATTATCATTATTGTTAAATGTTAATATATTTTATATATATTAATTGAATTTAATTGAAATAGTGATAATTAAAATTAAAATATCTAAATGGGACTGTTTGGACATAGGAGTTGTTTGGGTTGGTGCCCAAGCCCATTCCATGATGGAATAGGGTATAGTGTGCACTATATAAGTGTAACACTTTGTGAAATAATTTTTTGATCACATTATTTCATTCACAAGAAAACTCCAACCCCTTTTTCCCTCTCCCACGCCAGATTGTTTTTTGATTGAAATCAAAGTTTGCTTGATTTCTTCTTGGTTCTTAAAGGCTAAAAAGGATCTACAAATCCCTCTTTAGTTCCTTGGGGTTATCTTCGTGTGGACTACATTGGTTCGATCCAACTCTTAGGTCGGTAGTGAAATACGTTTAGAGACAAGTTGGAGGAGCCTCCAAACGTGCGTATGATTTCTTAAACTCTAAACTGAAAATCTGCAGATTCTAATATTATGTATAAACTATAAATGTGTGCCCTGATCTTGGTTATAAGGAATGATCTATGATGTAAATAATTTTGTTTTCCGCTACCATGTATGATCGTTTCCTAACAGTTGATTCCTATCGGCAAGAGATCATGTGTGTATCGATTTAGAGGTACCACACTTGGGGTATTTAGTGGGATTCAGCAATGAGAAATAAAATAGCAAAGGAGTCGGTAACCTTTTCTTACTCTTGTTTTGTATTTCATGTTTTTTATACATATATACATGCATGTGTTATTTGCATTAAATCGTTATTACCTCGATCATAATGGCACAATTTGGGAGGAAGTTTTAAAATTCGGGCAACCGTGTGCTTCTGCTAAATGTTCCAAACCCCAACAATGGTATCAAAGCCATTGATTATAACATTTTAATGCTAATAAAGGTTTAATGACGTTTTGGAATCCTATGTAATGATGTTTTGTGTTTTGGTTAATTGATGCCCTTAATGTTATTATTTTTGGATGAATTTTTCCTGGATGTTGTTAACATGTTGATGAATGATTCTGCAAAATTTTAGCTCAATCCAATATCGGGAAGGTTGTTTTTTGGCCAAAACACACAGCCCCTAGAAATCTGTCTTGTTAATTCGTCCAAGGGCGGTTTGATAAAATTGAAAGTTTTGGGGTTTTTGTGAAAATTTCCAGAACTTGAAATGTTAAAGTGAAATTATATGAAAATTAAAAGGGGTCAAAAAGGTAATTTCTAATGATCAGATTTAGATTTAGATTTTAATTCTAAATGGCTAAAATTAAATAAAATTGATTTCATGAAGATTAGATTTTGTAAGAAACTAGATTCTATTATTTTTATTATTTATTCTTTATGATATAATACAATCCCTAATTAATAGGGACTAGATGAGATTGAAAAATCATTGATTATCAAATTTAATTTTTAAATTTTGAATTAGATTATTGTCTTGTATTTGATAAGTGATTAAACAATAATACTTTTTAAAGGGATAAAGTTATCTAATAAGATTAAATAAAGAAAAGGTTCAACCAAAGATTTAATTTTAAAGGTTAAAATTTAAATTAGATTAAATTTTGAATAATCTTAATCCATTAAAAATTTATCTAAGATGATTAAATAAATATAAATGGATAAAGATTACTAAATTCAAAAATTAATGGATAAACTAAATCTTTTAAAAGTTTCAAGATTAGTTTAGGATTGAACTATCTACCAAAGCCTAAGATAATTTTGAATGAGGAAGTGATTAAAGAGAATTCTGTAACCAAGGCGATAAGAGCCTAAAGAGACTGGGATTTAAGAGGTCATCTAGACCCCCAATTTCTCTTGGGAATTTTCTTTTCTCATCAATCATGAGAAATTATCTTAAACCCAAGAACATTTTTATTAAAAGTTAATAAAATATTAGGATCCCACACCTAGAGTCACATGTTATATATAAATAAGATGGTCCTAAAAAATGTGCTAATAAATGATCTCTATGATATCTATGAGATACACATACATAGACATCAATATGCATAGATAAATGAGACCTATGTGTGTGTGTGTGTATATATATATATATCAAATATATACATTTACTTGATGTATATACACACAATCCTATATAATAAAATGTTTATTAAAAAACTCTCTAAAAGTATATTAAGTTTAGGCCGACACGATCCAGTAATCTTCCTGATGCACCATTGGTAATCCCAATAACTGTTAGGTGAGGCATCATAGGTTACTAGATATGTTCAATATAATAGCCTTGTAGGCTAGTGTCCCAATAACTGTTAGGTGAGGGACCTAGCTGGTTGAGCTATTTGAGAAGAGTTTCAGGTTTGACTTAACTAGCCAAAAACACTAATAACTGTTAGGTGACGTGTTAGTAGGCTAGCGGCAAGAAAATGATCGAATCTTATATGAGATATGATGAAAAAGAGTTTTTTTACTTGTTGAACATAACATGTCAATAAATGTTTGGTGAGGTATGTTATGCTTAACAAGAAATCGATCACCAACTAGAAACTTACCCAACGTAGGATTCTATTTTTCCATAATGGGAGTATGGAATTCAAATAAAATTAGTGGGAGTGTAATTGATTAATTAAATCAATATAAAAGGTTTATATATTAAAACACTAAAACAAATTTTGTCTTTTGTAGATTAAACGATATCTAAACACAAAATGAATCCATTGGCAACCATCTTAAACAAGGATAGATGCAATGACCCAAATTTTCTTGACTGGCGTCAGAAATTGAGGGTGGTTCTCGATTCCGAACACATTGGCTATGTGTTGGATAATGAACCACCGATGCCTTTGGTTGATGAAGCTACTGCTGAAGAGAGACAGACCCATAATGTAACGCCTCACTTGAGGTACATAGCTAATGTTTCTTCTTTTGCTCTTTTTTGAGCTGGTTTATTAGTATTATTGTTTGGTTGACCTTTGTTTGAGTGGTATGTTGAATACTTGCCTTGAAATTGGTTGAAATAGAAGAAGTTCAGTGTTTTAGGCTTCGCCAGGGTGAAGAATAATCTTCGCCGCGGCAAAGAGGTGTTGAAGCCACGAGAAACCGCTGGACAATTTCGCCGCGGTGACAGAATATTCTTTGCCGCAGTGACGGGCCGACCAAAATGTTTGTTAAGTTTTTGATATTTTCATCCCTAAGGGCAATTTGACCTTTCTACCCCTAATTAGTAGGAAAAGTGGAGAGTAAAATGTAATGAATTTTCATGGAGGATATGTTGATATGGGGCTGTGTTTGTAATGAATCAAAGGATATAGATGGAATTCCTAAGGAAGAGTAAGGGCAAAATGGGAATGCTTGTGCATAAATTGCATTAAAAGGAATTAAGTCATTGCAAACCTTTCATTCTGCTTCTCCATTGCCACTCTCCTTTCTTACTTCCTCTCAATTTCTCTTTCACTTGTTCAAGGATTTTTAGAGGGCTTTTGGAGTATTTTGGGGTAGAAAATCAATCTAAGGCATCCTAAGGTAAGGATTCTTGCTTTGGATGTGAAGCTTTGTGAGATTTTATGTATATTTGAATATTGAGGTNAGAGAGAGAGAGAGAGAGAGAGAGAGAGAGAGAGAGAGAGAATCCTATATAATAAAATGTTTATTAAAAATCTCCCTAAAAGTATATTAAGTCTAGGCCTTCTGACACGGTCTAGTAATCCTCCTGATGCACCATTGGTGATCCCAATAACTGTTAGGTGAGGGACCCTTCGTGCATCATAGGTTACTAGATCTGTTCAATATAATAGCCTTGTAGGCTAGTGTCCCAATAACTGTTAAGTAAGGGACCTAGCTGGTTGAGCTATTTGAGAAGAGTGTTAGGTTTGACTTAACTAGCCAAAAACACTAATAATTGTTAGGTGAGGTGTTAGTAAGCTAGAGGCAAGAAAATGATTGAATCTTATATGACATATGATGAAATTTTTCTACCTGTTAAACATAGCATCTTAATAACTGTTAGGTGAGGTATGTTATGCTCAACAAGAAATCGATCACCTACTAGAAACTTGGCCAATGTACGTTTCCCTTTTTCCATATTGAGAGTTGAAATTTGGATAAAATTAGTGGGAGTGTAATTGATTAATTAAATCAATATAAAACGTTTGTATATTAAAACACTAAAACAAATTTTGTCTTTTGTTGATTAAACGATATCTAAACACAAAATGAATCCATTGGCAACCATCTTAGACAAGGATAAATGCACTGGCCCAAATTTTCTTGATTGGCGTCGAAAATTGAGGGTGGTTCTCAATTCCGAACGCATTGGCTATGTGTTGGATAATGAACCACCAAAGCCTTTGGCTGACGAAGCTACTGCTGAAGAGAGACAAACCCATAAGAAATGGGAAGATGATGAGCTCAAAGTAAGAAGCTATATAAAAGCTTCTTCGAGCTCACAACTATTGGAACAATATGAGAAGATGAATTCTTCATCAGACATAATGAATCATCTACAAGAGTTGTATGATGAGAGCAGCTTAACTGTTAGTTATAAAGTAACTAGCAACTCTTCAGAATGAGAATGGCTGAGGAAAATTCTCTTTCTGATCATGTACTTAAGATGATCAAGTTAATTGAACAAGTGGAAGGATTTGATCTTTACTTGGAATATAGGCTCCAAGTTAATCTCATCCTTCAGTCCCTCTCACGAAGCTTCAAGTCTTATATCACCAATTTCAACATGAACAAATTGGTGACGACTATAGAAACACTTTTAAAGCTTCATGGCTCGTTGAAATCATTTGAAAAGCTGATGAAAGGGGACAAGGAGACTATTCTTGCTATTTCCAGTCTTGTTTATAACAGAAACAAGAAAAAGAAAGGCAAAAAGCCTTTCTCCAAGACATAGCCCAAAGGAGGTGTATCCAAGCGCAAGCCCAAAGAGAAAAATGCAAAGGGCCAATGCTTCCAATGTGGAAAAGCTGGACATTGGAAGAGGAATTGCACAGAATACCTGGCAAGCCTAAAATCTTCCAAAGGTATGATTCCCTTACTTGTTATTGAAACTGAATTAAGTGTTAGTTCAAATTTTCACACATGGATATTAGATTCTGCTGCTACATCTCACATATGTACTTCTTTGCAGATTCTAAGGAGTAAAAGGTTACTCAACAAAGATGAAGTGATCCTAAGAGCTGGAAATGCAACAAATTTTGCTGCGGAAGCCGTTGGAACACATCATCTACAACTTCCTTCGGGATATAGCTTAGCTTTGAGTGACATTTTGTATTTGTTTGGTGCAATAAGAAACATTGTTTCAATTCTTGTTTTAGCTCAATGTAATTATCAATTTCATTTTGTTTAAAAACAGTTGCACAAATTATTTCAGAAATAAAATTGTTGGCACTACATTGCTTTAAATACAAATGGCTTATATGTTCTACAAATGTGTGATAATAACAACAACGAAATAAATACCATAACCCATAAAAGACCAAGAGATAACGTTAGTCATAAGCATCTTTGGCACCTAAGATTAGGTTATATAGGGGACAAAAGAATTACAAGGTTGGGAAATGATGGCTTAATAGCATCATTGGGTCACGGCCGTACCCAACTTGTGAATCTTGTATTTTAGGCAAAATGACCAAATCACCCTTTGTTAGACAAAGTGAAAAGGGCCATGATTTATTAGAATTATTCCACTCTGATGTATGTGGGCCATTCAGTATAATGGCAAGGGGAGGTTTTCAATACTTTATAACTTTTATCGATGATTATTTGAGATATGGTTATTTGTACTTGATGAAGTACAAGTCTGAATCTTTTGAAAAGTTCAAAGAATTCAAAGCTAAAGTAGGAAAATAAACAGGAAAAGGTATTAAAGTTCTACAATTAGATCATGGAGGAATGTAACAACTGTTGTAAACTAGTACAATGCATGCATAATAACAATAGAAAATGGGCCCAAAACTTTTCCTTTTTATTATAAGTCATACGACTTTTATACACAAGGAACGTCATTTACAAAAATGCCATTTTAAAAGACAACACAGGGGAAACAGTGTAGCTATTGCTCCTCGCTTGCCGACGTCCCTCCGACTGCATCATCACCTAGATCCTGCATCCACAAAGGAAAATAATGGGGTGAGCACAAAATAATGCTTAGTAAGTAAAACCCTCTAACTGTCTATCCCTGTATGTATTACTCTTAATTCTTTCCTCACACTTTCTGTTGTTTCCTACTAAACGTCATTCCTACTAAACATCATGGCCTCATCTTACCGGAGGTACGGCCGGATGGCGTTCACATAGCACCATCTCACTCTTAGTGACTACCGAGTGGGGATCACGAAGCACCTACCCGGTTTTCGTAACTAACGGGTGGAGACCACATAGCACCTACCCGTTCCTCTTGACTTTCAGGTAACGATCACCAAGCATTAACCCGTTCCTAATCACTGTCGGGTGATGATCACAAAGCATCAACCCATCTTTAATAAATATCGGGTGATGATCATAAAGCATCAACCCATCTCTAATAAACATCGGGTGATGATCACAAAGCATCAACCCCTTTTTTAATAACTAACCGGGTGATGGTCACAAAGCATCCACCCGTTTCTAATACCTATCGGGTGATGATCACAAAGCATCAACCCATTTCTAATAAATATCGGGTGATGATCACAAAGCATCAACCCCTTTTCTAATAACTAACCGGGTGGTGGTCACAAAGCATCCACCCGTTTCTAATACCTATCGGGTGATGATCACAAAGCATCAACCCATTTCTAATAGCTATTCGGGTGGTGATCACAAAGCATCAGCCCGATTCTCATAACTGTCGGGTGATGATCACAAAGCATCAACCCATTTCTAATAACTCTTCTCATTCACTCTACTCTAGCACTTTTTATTCTCTCTACCCTTAGAGTACTTACATCCACAAAGTTCTCTACTCATAGAGCGAGTTCATACACAAAGTTCTCTACTCTATCTTAGGTCACTTCTCAATGTACAATTAATGCTTATGGATGGTTCATCTCCACTAATGCACTTATGAAATGCCAACATGCAATGTTGCAAGAATTAAGGTTCACTACTCATACTCAAACCTCTATTAGGCATTTCATCAAACAACTCAAGTGCATAATAAAACTCTACTATAACAATGATTCTATATCTTTCTCTAACCATCCAAAATGGGGAGAAACCCCCTCACATAGCCACATATCCTGCCAAAGAAAGACACTTCCAAAAGGATTCCTCAATATCCTTCAATTCCATCTCAAACTACCTTTCCAACCCACATCTCACTTCTTATATTGGAAATGTATAAACAGTCACAAAGCACTAGAAAATCTCCATTTGAGACTCAATAACATGGCATATAACATGTATATAACATACATACATAATGGCTACCAAAACCCTAATCAAGAAAATTCTCAAATCTCAACTTGGGTTGGGATTTACTTACTTTGTTATGGAGAGATTTCACTAACTCTTCCTGTCACTTGGTTTGCTTGACTTTCTCTCTACTCTTCAACAAATGAACAAAAACCCTCAATATTCAATATATACAAAAACTCACAAAGCATCACAACCAAAGTAAGAATCCTTACCTTAGGATGCCTTAGATTGACTTTCTATCCCAAATCACTCCAAAAGCCCTTAAAAACTCCTTGATCAAAAGAAAGAGAATTTGAGAGGAAGCAAGAGAGGAGAGTGGCGATGGAGAAGAAGAATGAAGGGTTTGCAATGACTTAATTCCATTTAATGAAATTTATACACAAGCATTCCCATTTTGCCCTTACTCTTCTTTGGGAATTCTATCTATATCCTTTGATTCATTACAAACACACCCCCATAGCAACATATTCTCCATGAAAATTCCTTACAATTTACTCCCCACTTTTCCTGCTAATTAGGGGTAGAATGGTCAAATTGCCCTTAGGGAAGAAATATCTAAAACTTAACAAACATTTTGGTCGGCCTGTCGCCGTGGCGAAGAAACTTCTGTCGTCGCGACGAAACTGTCCAGCAACTTCCCCGTGGTTTCAACACCTCTTCGCCGCAGCGAAGATTCTTCTTCGCCCCGGTGAAGCTTGTAACACTGAACTTCTTCTATTTTCAACCAATTTCAGGGCAAGTATTCAACATAACACTCAATCAAAGGTCAACCAAACAATATAACCAAGAAACCAACTCAAATAAGAGCAAAAGAAGAAACAATAACTACATACCTCAAGTGGGGCGTTACAAGGAAAATACCTAAGTATTGACTTCCAAGACTATCTTAAAAGTTATGGTATTATATCACAATTGACACCTCCACATACGCCGTAACATAATGGTGTATCTGAGAGAAGAAGTCGTACCTTGTTAGACATGGTACGATCAATGATAAGTTATACAGACTTACCATTGTCAATATGGGGGCATGCAGTCCAAACTACTTTATATGTCCTAAATATGGTTCCTACCAAATCTGTTTCCAAAACACCATACGAGATATGGCATGGCAAACAACCTAACCTTAACTATCTAAGGATTTGGGGTTGTCTTGCATTTGTTAAGAAAATCTTAACAGAAAAATTGGAAACAAGATCTGAGAAAGGTCGTTTTATAGGATATCCAAAAGATTCCATGGGATATTTCTTTTATTTTCCTTCTGATCATAGAGTTTCGATCAGTAGACATGCAGTTTTTCTTGAAGAAGGTGTAGGAAATAAAATAGAGCTAGAAGAAGAATCTTTTGAGCAAGAAAATGACCAACCCTGAGAGGAACCAACTCAACCTTCCGAAACACAAATTCTTCGTAGGTCTACTAGAGTGTCTCGTCTTCCAGAGAGATACAACTTGCTTAATCAAAAGGATTGGGAATCTTTATTGATTGAGGAGGTTGATCATGGTGATGATCCTAGAACTTATGAGGAAGTGATGTCAGACATCGATTCTGGAAAACGGCTTGAAGCCATGAAATCAAAGATTGATTCAATGCATTTCAACCAAGTCTAGTCTCTAGTCGACCCACCCGAAGGAATTGTTCCTATTGGGTGTAAATGGGTTTACAAGAGAAAGATTGGTAAGGATGGCCAAGTAGAAACCTACAAGGCTTGACTAATGGCAAAAGGTTATATTTAGAAGCAAGGAATTGACTACGAGGAAACTTTTTCTCCAGTAGCAAAATCAATCATGATTTTGTTAGCAATAGCTGCATTATACGATTATGAGATTTGGCAGATGGACATTAAAACTGCTTTTCTTAATGGATATCTTTATGAAGATATCTATATGAGACAACTAGAAGGTTTTATATCTAGTGACGAAAGTCACAAGGTATGCAAGCTACAAAGGGCCATCTATAGACTCAAGCAAGCCTCCAAAAGTTTGAACATTCGTGTTGATGAGGCAATCAAAGAGTTTGATTTTATCAAAAACATGGATGAACCATGTGTTTATAAAAAGGTTAGTGGGAGCGCAATTGTATTCCTAATATTATATGTTGATGGCATACTACTACTTGGAAATGACATTGGTTTAATGACATCAGTCAAAGTTTGGTTATCAAATAAATTATCCATGAAAGATTTGGGAGAAGCCACATATATCCTTGGAATTCGCATATACGGAGATAGAGCAAAAAGAATGATGGGATTATACCAAAGTTTGTACATAGAAAATGTGTTAAAGAGATTTAACATGCAAGATTCTAGGAGAGGTCGTCTACTCTTTATGCAAGGGATTCATTTATCTAGATCAAAGAGCCCCAAAAAGCCCAAGGATAGAGAACGCATGAGCAGAATACCATATGCATCAACAATTGGTAGTCTTATGTATGCTATGCTATGTACAAGGCCTGATATGACTTATGTTGTAAGCATTACAAGAAGATATCAATCT